GATGGTTCCTCCTTCCTGCATTTCCCCTCTTTTCCCTTCAGTTCAAGCTGGTTTCGGGGCACATGGCAAGACAGAAAAGAGAAGTAAGCCATAGCAACCCAGATGAAGTCATAGTTTAGTGCAACAGTTTTAAAATTAAAAATAAAAATCCATGATTTTTAAGGTGGCTGAGGGGGATTCCTCATTCACTTCACCCTAATCCCAGCCCAGCCCAGGGGGGAATTTGGAGACCAATGGAGGATGGGAGGAGGGGAGTTTGCAGAGAGAAAAGGAGGAAGAAAGGGTTCTCCCCCAAACCATGGGCTTGAGGTAATAGAAAGAATTCTATAGGCTCTGGGAGCCCCTGAGATCCAAGTGGGGACTCAGTGAGGGGTCAGAACCTCAAAGAAGAAGAATCAGTGTGACCATGGAGATAAGACCATGGACAGTTGTACAATTGACTCCAGGCCCTGGGGTGGTAAGGAAGCAGCAGAGCAGTGGGCTGGCACTGTGGGGGTGTCAATAGTAACCCCATGAGAACTGACCAGTAAAGGATGGTAGTCACAGGACCACCCTGTGACTTGGCATTTCACAGGGCAGTAGAGCTGGGAGCATACAGTCAAAAAATAATTCATTGGACAGAAAATAAAATTATGCAATGACGGTTGCACACCTGTGGTTTCAGACTAATATAAATGTCTGCCATATCCACGTAAAGAAACGGATTAATTAGGCAACTTGCATTAAGTCAAAAGATTAATTAGGCAACTTGCATTTAGATTCAATTTTTAAAAAAAGAACTGGATGAATCTACATGTGGTGGAGAAACATGTCAATTTCAAATGACATCCTTGGTCTGGGGAAGAATGCTCCTTAAAATCATATTTTTCTGTTTCCAGAGTTACTTCCGTGATGCTCCTGCATAAATCTCTGTCAAATGCCTGGGAGCCTTTGGTGATGGCTGACGTAAAATGAGAGCAATCGCAAGCCATAGGTCGCCCCCCACCCCCGCCTCCCACCAGAGTTGGAAAGTTGGAGCTGAGGATTTATACAGTATGCTTCCTTCTGTCGGATCAGGAGAGAGACCAAGATCTCTCAAGTGAAATTTCCTCTCAGATCATGATGAAGTTATTGGCTTTCTGTTGACATAAATTACACAGGCTATCTCAATAGATAAAGCATCATTTTCTCTCTGCTGCACGGTTTTCATAATAGCAGCTGGATTTCTCAATGTAATTTTTCTTAAGGTCAAATTTTCTTCGCCAGGTATCATCAGTGATATGAGACTTGTCAGAACAAATCTCGGTATACCTTTATATTCTCATATTATTCAATTCCCAGATAAACACGGAGAAAAACAATACACCACTAACAACAAAATACATATCTGAGGCTTCTCTGTACAGTGTCTGTGTAAAACAGAAAGAATACAACCCAAGGGAAAGAGACAGGTCCACCATTTATTCCAGGTCCTATCACTTCCTGGAAGATAATTACAGAGTTTCCACTGTGATTGATTTCCGGATTCTAGGACACCATTACTGTATGATACACCCTAGATTTAATAAGAGCTTTCAAAGGGAAAAAGAAACTATTAAGTACTTGTCAATTTAAACTGCACTCCAACGGAAGAAATGCTGAAATATGGAAAAGCATCCATCTTAGAATGAGTGAAAAACAACCATGGAGATTCAATTTTACAGCAACTCAGTTTTTAGTATTACCCATGGAGGGATGGCCATGATGATCCCACCTGGGACCAAGGGCAAGGCCATACAACCTGGGAATATGGAGTAACAGAAGAGCACTGTCTTGAAGTCTAGAGCTAGTCCTGAAGGTACTGCAGGAATAGTATGTTTTAATATTTTTAATTGATTTCAGAGAGGGAGGCAGAGGGAGGGAGAGATAGAAACATCAATGACCGGCTGCCTCTGCCACACCGGGGATTGAACCTGCAACCCAGGCATGTGCCCTGACTGGGAATCAAACCGTGACCTCCTGGTTCATAGTTGATGCCCAACCAACCGGGCAAGAATAGCATTTTTAACAGCTATATTGAGGTGTAATGGACACACAATAAGCTGCACATATTGAAAGGGTCCCCTTTGATAAGGTTTGACATATATACACCCATGGATCCATTGTTACATTCAAGGTAGTGAACATACCCATCACCTCTACAGTTACCTGGTGTTCCTTTATAACTCTTCCCACCTGCCTCACTCCCGGCAATCCTGATCTATGTTCTGTCACTGTAGACTGGTTCTCATTTTCTAGAATTGTATATAAATAGAATTATACAGAACATAGACTTTTTTTGGTCTGGTTCCTTGTATTCAGCCAAAACTTTGAGTTTTGTCCACGTTGTTGCATGTGTCAAGAGTTCGTGTTGTTTTATTGCCAAATAGTATTCATTGTCTACCAGTGATGGCGAACCTATGACACGCGTGTCAGAGGTGACATGCAAACTCATTTTTTTGGTTGATTTTTCTTTGTTAAATGGCATTTAAATATATAAAATAAATATCAAAAATATAAATCTTTGTTTTACTATGGTTGCAAATATCAAAAAATTTCTATATGTGACACGGCACCAGAGTTAAGTTAGGGTTTTTCAAAATACTGACATGCCAAGCTCAAAAGGTTCGCCATCACTGATCTATACACTCACCAGGTTATGGACATTCCAGTTGTTTTCACTTTTGAACTAAACTACTACAAGTAAAGTACCTGTGAATATTTGTACAAGTATTTGTGAGGACATATGCTTTCATTTCTCTTGTAAACATCTAGTAGAATGGCTAGGTCATAGGGTGTTTAACTTTTAAAGGAGCTGCCCAATTGTTCTCCAAAGGGGGGAAGACCATGTTCCACCCCCAACAGCATGTACAAGAGTTCCAGTTGCTCCCAAATCCTCGACAATACTTGATATGGTCTGTCTTCTCATCATAGCCATTTAATTTAGCCATTGTAATAGGTGTATGGCGCTGTTTTGTTGTGGTTTTGATGTGCCTTCCCCTAGTGACTAATGATGGAACTACAACTTTTAGCAAGTGGAAGACTAAACCTGTGCAGGAGGCCCAAAGGAGTGGACAGCGATGCAAGAAGAAAACCAGGAAAATGGGGCAATCACAGACGTCCACCGGAGAAACGACTCAAAAAGAGAGTGATCGATAGAATCAAATGATGCTAACGTGAAGGCTGAAGGTTCTCGTTTGGATCTCAGCCTCTGCTGACCTTATCAAAAGATGTTCCAGTAGCAAATCCAGCTCCCAGCCTCCTTCTACATTTTCAGAATGAGCACCATTGCACTGCCTACTGGGTGGCAGCTCTTCGGGTGTCTGAGTCCCACTCTGTGGGCCCCCTCTTCCGAGCCCCTGAGGTTAAAGCACCAGCTGGTACCCCCTTCCAGCAGTTCCAGGTTTCAAGGAAGGTCACAGGCCCGGTTTTCTGGGAAGCCAACTCTGAGGTTGAGATGAGCATGCAGGCAGTGTTTTAGGGAGTGGTCCCAGGGTCATCACCTCTGGAAGAGAAGGGAAAGAAGCAGGACAGGGCGAGGGAGAAGTTGGCTGGGATGCTGCCTCAACCCAGGGCTCAGCCAACGCTTACTAGGAGAATGGCCCATCAGCGTTGTCCCCACTGGTCACACCCTACATGGACCAGTCACTGGATGCATCTTGCCCCAGGCGGGGGGTCATCCCCGTAGACGGTGACCGCTGAGCTGTCGGCCAATAGCACCAGCAGCTTATCCCTTCAGTCTTGAAGCAGGTTCTGGCAACACACTGAGTGTCCAGGACAAGGGGTTTCTCCTCCAAGTTTCTAGGTTCTACTCACCCCAACCTCTGCCCTCGGCTCCCCACCTAGGAGTGGAAGTCGTTCCCTGCAGTTCGTCTCTCTAAATTATTTCAGAGCCTCCTTCGTGCTTCTGCATTCTCCAGCACCTGTCTGAGCAATTCCTTCTACTAAACTCTCTAGTGCTACACCTTTACTCCTGACTGATCTACCCCCGCCCCCGCCCCCACCCCCACCCCCGCAAGGGGGACTCCAACACTGGTAGGGAAGGGAGGAGAGGGCTGAGAAACCCGCACTTTGTGACTGATTCTGTGCCCTACTGACCAGGTTACATATAACCCAGAAGGTCAACTTGGTAAATAATAGCATCATGTTTTGCTCTCAGCTCATGCACACTCCCAGCGTCATCTGAAAAGACCAACATTTTGGCCCAGAAATCTGGATTGAAATAATCCGGGAACAGGCCCTCTGCGCCCTCCGTGTGTCTGCCCTGCAGGTGGGAACAGGCCTGAACCCTCTTGAGCTCCTTCGAGCCAGAGCGTAATCCATTGGCCGCAGGTCTGACACATTCATGCACTAAGTGGCTCCCTCGAGATCTGCAATGTTAACACAGTCGCAGCCTGAGTGCCTGACTTCACGTGGAAGTGACCCCGGCTCAGGGATAATGGGCTTAAAAGCTGTACAGATGGGTATCAAAAGGGCAAGAAGGAAGCCACGATTCCGTCTTTCCGTTTTTCAGACTGCGCCAAGTCTGGTTTTCAGCTAAGACGGACATGCTCCTGACTGAAATAAACAAACAGACCTCGCGGCTCATCGAGTGTCCATCACAAGGTGTCTATGCAGCCATACTGGCACCGGGAGGCGTGTCTAAACCGGGCTTTCCTGGCTCCCACACCAGCGCTGAGAAGGAATCAGAATAGGACCCACTTCAGTATTCAGAGCACATTTTATTAACACAGAACGACTACGATTCACCTTATTAATTTCACAGGGGGCACTGCGACCCCGGAAAGCACCACTCATGTCATACACCATGAACTTGATTACAAGGAAGAAACAAAACACATCGTTATTACCAAAAACTCCATACTGGTAACAAGTCTTCCCCTTCTCCCCCCTCCACCCCCCCCCAAAAAAACAACAAGTATTAAAGCTTCAAATATGCAAATCTAAAAATATGTTACATTTAACGTTAAGACTCAAGTTTCTCTTTTAAAATAGACTGAGCATCTCTCCCTCCCCTGATTCTCCAATTACGAGAAGACGCCCTTTGCACTGCGTTTCTCCTAAACTTCTATCCTCTGTCCTTGAGCAGAACTGAGGGCTGAACAGGGGCCGGAGGTGGAGACCACGGGGCCTGCTGGCTCCGGAGGTGGCCCTCGCTGCCCGGGGACGCCTCCTTGCGCTCCTTCCCCAGGTTGGCTGTGCTGGTCTTTCCAGCAGTTTCGATCCAGGGGTGCTTAAGAACTTGGTGGGCCGTGTAGCGCTTTTTGGGGTCCACCACCAGCAACCGGCTCACCAGGTCTTTGGCAGCTGTCGGAGGGAGAGAAGGAGGAGGAAAATGAGACGAATGCAGGTGGTTCTGAATTTCTCTTCCCCATCCGTGAACTGAACCCAAACATCCCCCTTAGCACCACGTGCTACCCTGGAGCAGCCTTGTCCGATGGAACCTTCTGCGACCACGGAAACCCTCCACCTCTGTGCTCCACGCTGGGACCACTGGGCGTTTGAAACGTGGCTAGTGCGACTAAGGAGCTGAATTTGTGTCGAATTCACTTTTAATTCGCTCACATTTACATTTACACTGAGGTAGCCCGTGCAGCTGGGGGCTACCCTGTGGGACGGAGCAGCTCTACAGGGTATTTGTTCATTTCTCCCCAGGGTCGCGGGCCAGGACCACTGACAGCCATGGCGCCCAGCGCAAGGTGACAAATAGAGGTCACGTCTGTCTACAATGTTTTCCATCTGTTAACCAAACTATCAAGGTGCTAAATGACAGATGTGTGTTCTTACTTCCAACATTGACAAATAGGCCTTCCTACTGACATCAAAGAACATGTACGAAGAAGCCTAAGTCGTAAACAGTGCAAATTCACAATTAATTTCATTTTCTGCCCCAAATCATGAGTGATTCTGGAGAGAGGTGGTGACACCTAGGGGGCCAGGGGGCAGGCAGGGAGGAGGAAAGATTTCTGGTTCTCCCAGGCTGGCTCTCTGAGCCTCCTCCTCCAATCTCTCGAGAATACCAGCATCACTCCTTCAGGTCCTCAAAGGACGCAGACTGATGTAGCAGGAGATAAAGGATGAAGCGCAACCTGTGGACAGCCCACCCTGTGCAGGCGCTGCGGGGGGGCTCTGCGCTCTCCTCACACACCTGCCCTAGACCCTGCTCGCAGTCAGAACCCAGAGGGGCTCCAGTCCTGCCTCCCCTCTTCCCGAGCGTGGAGGCCCCGACTCTCACCCTCAGAGATGTTGTCCCAGTAAGGGGCCAGGAACTCGAAGTGGCCCAGCTGGATGATGTCGAAGAGCTCGTCCTGGTCCCTCTCCAGGCTGCGGAACGGGGGGAAGCCACACAGCAGGATATAGAGGATCACGCCCGCGGCCCACATGTCCACCTCCAGCCCGTAACCTGTGCAGCGGAGGCAGAGACACAAGCGCAGCTGAGCCCAGGCTGGGTCGGACGTGATGAGACAAGCCGTGGAGAATCATGGCTCAGGCCACAGAGGGCCTCAGCTCTCTGCACGCGAGAGCCACTTCCAAACATGACTGCCAGCTCCTACCAACGTGGGGTACACACCAGGGTGACTCAACGTGTGGTCCTCAGACCACGGCCACTGTGTGACCCTTTCTGACTGGTCTGTCATAAAACAAGCACAGACATGGAAAGGAAACATCTGGAAACTCTCATTTGACATGGCTATGACATCCAGTTGCACGCTCAAGGGACACACAGTGAACAGGGTATAGATCAGTGATGGTGAACCTTTTGAGCTCGGCGTGTCAGCATTTTGAAAAACCCTAACTTAACTCTGGTGCCGTGTCACATATAGAAATTTTTTGATCTTTGCAACCATAGTAAAACAAAGATTTGTATTTTTGATATTTATTTTATATATTTAAATGCCATTTAACAAAGAAAAATCAACCAAAAAAATGAGTTCGCGTGTCACCTCTGACACGCGTGTCATAGGTTCGCCATCACTGGTATAGATCATCAGTTCAGGGTTGTGTAACACACGTGGTCAGTCACACGTGGCATGAGCTGTGATCCCTGATTTAGAAAGCGTTCTCGTGCTTTGGTCAAGGAGAATAACTTCCAATATTCCCATTAAAACCTAAATGCCAGCTTAGCACCAACTCTAAGATCTTTGTTCCATATTGAAAGAATATAAAATATGAAATATTAAAAAATGAAACATTAATCAGTAAGTGAGCAAGAGTCCCACACTTACCTTTCTCAGAAAGAATTTCAGGTGCTACGTAAGTCGGGGTCCCGCACACGGTGAACACTGGTCTCACCACGTGCTTCGCGAGGCCAAAGTCAGCCAGCTTCAAGGTCGTCGACTGGTCCTCATTCCTCTGAACCTGTAAGAAACCCAAATCCCCAAACCACCAAAACTGTGATGAGAATAAATGAGGAAAACTCATGCAACAACAAGCCTAAGAGGTCAAGATAACAAACAATGAACCTACACACCCTTACAGTTTAGCCCAACACTGATGGACCCAATTTGATCTGTGACAGGTGCTCACATTTTCAAGTAACAAATTAATGAGCCGGATTTTATACCAGATTGCCACACGTGGCTGTTTAAATTAAAAAACTGAAATTTGGTTTCTCAGATGCACTAATGGCATTGCAAGTGTTCATCGGCCATCGGTGACTAATGGCTACAATAGTGGACAGTGAGAGTGCAAAGCATTTCCATCACCACAGAAAGTCCTGTTGGGCAGCACGACCTCGGACAAGAACCAGTGATATTGGGAGTACAGACAGTTTTAGTGAGGACTAGGAAATGCCTGTGGGCAATGCAAAGTCTGGGCAGAGGGGGAAAAAAAAGAAAATAAAATAGGAATTAGAATGAATAAGTAGACCAAGGAACAGTGGAGGGATGTTAAATACCAGCCCAAATTGGGGGGACCAAGGGGAAGGGGTGATTTAAGAATCAAACAGACCAGGAGGCTTGAATTCCAGTTCCAAGACTTGCAGCTGGGTGATCTTGGACAATTTCTTTACTGATCTGAGTTTCCATTTTCTCATTTGTTTAACAAGAAGAAGAAAGGAGGGGGTGAAAATTTCCAGCAAGTAGGAGTTCCATTCAGTGTCTGTAATCTGCCCTGCTCAGTGCTAGCCCTAGAGCAGGGGTGGGGAACGCCAGGCCTGCGGGTCGTATAGGGCCCGAGAAATCATTTGGTCTGGCCCTGCCAAGGCAACCACAGGCAGGACTCAAAATTCAATAAATCTCGGAGCTTTTCTCATAGCAACGTAAATTTATATTAAGTGAATCATATTAAGCAGAATGATGTTATAAATATCCAAATGGCCTTTGGCAGAAAAAAGGTTCCCCACCCCTGCCCTAGAGTGACCAGCAGTCCCAGACTGCTGGGGACTCGGGGGTTCCAGGATGTGGGGCTTTCATTTTTAAACTTTCATTTACAGACTTTTATTTCTAAAACAGTCTGAGATGGCTGTCCTAGTTTGCACATAATAAATCTTTTAAAAAGTAATGCTATGGGACTGAGATTTATGCTTACATATTGGAACTGACCATCTGGGTTCTAATTGTTAATATTTTTGCATGAAGGTGAAAGAAATTATGTCTGTTTCTTCCTTTAGATGCCACTTCCACCAAATTTTAGAAAGGGTAGAAATGGTGATTTTTAAAAAAAAAAAAACAGAAAAGACAGCGACCCTCACTCTGAAATGAACACAGAGAACTGGCTGCTCTCCCGTGTTCTCATTAAAATACGTCCCACCCGACGAGTCTCCTCCCTTCCGAGTCCAGCTGGCTGGCTCTCTGACCTCTGGTCAGCCAGGTTCATCTGCCCTGTCCTTCTTCACCTTGAGGTATCTGCGTGCTAGATGATAGTTAGGAAAAAGCTCTTTGATTTCATCAAAGAAATCAATCTCAGAAGGTGAGCTTAGCAAGTGTTTAGATGACCATGCAAAAAATAATAAAGCTAAAGATACTGATATAGTTCAAATAAAAGAGAAATAACCAATGAAGGAGCAAACCTAGCATCTCTTACAGCAAGTAAAAGGCCCACCGGTGCCCCTCCTGGACCCTGCACAGCCTAAGGAAGTTGTAGCAAAAGCTCTTTAAAAAAATTTTTTTAAATATATTTTTCTTGATTTCAGAGAGGAAAGGAGAGGGAGAGAGAGATAGAAACGTCAATGACGCGAGAGAATCATTGATCTGCTGCCTCCTGCACGCCCCACACTGGGAATCAAACAACCTGGGCATATGCCCTGACCGGGAATCGAACTGTGACCTCCTGGTTTCATAGGCTGATGCTCAACCACTGAGCCAGGCCAACCAGGCAGCAAAAGCTCTTTCTGTAACAACATGGTAAAATGTACTGGCTCTGCCTCCTGCTGCTGCAGGCTTGCCTCGGATCCACCTCCCGCTGGTTCTCTTGGGGGCCTCTGGATGGGCCTCCTCACCTCCTGCAAAGGAAACTCCCTTTGCTGGAGTATCCAGTGTCATGTGCCAAGCACACCTCAAAGGCCCAATTGTCGGGGTCCAAACTCCAGCTCGCCGTTTCCTGCGCAACTGGTCAAGTAACTGCGTGCCTCCCTTTCCTCATCTGTACAATGCGGATCTGCATGACCTTATGGGACTGTGATGAGGATGAAATGAACTAACATCTGTAAAGTGTAATCAACAGTGCCTGGCACCTAAGAAGCACAATACATTCAAGTGTTTGTCAAGTACAGTGATTCCCAAAGTGGGTGCCACTGCCCCCTGGTGGGCGCTGCAGCGATCCAGGGGGCGGTGATGGCCACAGGTGCATTTGGGGGCGATGAGTAACTGCTATTAAAATTTTAAAAAAATTAATTTCCAGGGGCTGAGTAATATTTTTTCTGGAAAGGGGGCGGTAGGCCAAATAAGTTTGGGAACCACTGGTCAAGTAAAACCATATTATTTTAGCCACCAAAACAGTTCACCTCTGAAGGCCAGGACTGACTCAGGCAAAATGAGAAGTTCAGAGAAGCTGGCATGGGTATCGCCCTGCTCATCACAGAACCTGCATGCTCAGGCCAGCGGTGCCCTGAGCAGGTAATGGCCACACAATGGAAAACATACTGGGCTGAGCCTGGTGATGATGTCGCCCAAGGGAGAGACACGATGGGGCCCCCGGAGCTATAGGAGAAATTGCCCACTTGTCTGCAGGCATGTGTTCTCACATCTGTAATAAAACTGAGCAGAGGTTTTCAAAGCTCCCACCAGCACTCAGGAAGGGGGACAGGAGGACAAGGGGGAGCACTCTGGCTCTCGCTGTGTCCCATCAGGGCACAGCGACACCCCAAAATGCAGGGGCAGTGGAGCATCCACTCCCCACACAGGAATAAGTTCTCTGCACTCGCCCTGCCTCCGGCCAGTGAGCTCACAGCTCTGTGAGCAGATATGTCTTAATTACTGTGTCTGAGTCACCACCGGCCAATCTCATCAATGTCTCCATAATGAACCCAGCCAAATGGAAAGGGGTAGACGTAGAACGAAAATGCGAGTCCGCCTTGGTGTGCGTACAAGACAGACATGGCCCGAAAGCAGACCAGGGACGTAATTATTAGGATAATTTAGATTAGAAAACTGAGTTTGCAAGGAAAGGACAAAAAATAGCCCGCTGCCTCGAGTTTCCAGATGGATCGTCTACATTCATCACATTTGCCGGGTGATGGTTGAAAAAATATGTCCCTCACAAATATTTGCAAATATTTCCAAACAAATGATCAGCATTGAAAGCATTTGGCTGACTTAATACACTGAAATAAACATGTGAAATAACAAAATCACCAGAGAGTTCCATTCGCCCTGAGGTGCAGGGAGAGAAAGCTGCATAACTAACTTTACTGAAACAGCTCATCTTCCACTGTTTCCAAGAATTTACCTCCCAGTTTGCCACCCCTAGAAGCCAAAACCCCTTTTCCTTTGTCTTGTCGCTTCTGAGAATGTGGACTGTTCTTTGCTAAAATGCTAGACAAGCCCCAAGTTCTCACCACCCCTCTGAGTTACTCACCCCCGAGTTTCTCCCTCGTGCATACACAGTGCACAGGTAAATAAACTGTTGTTTTTGCCTTGTTAATCTATCTATTGTGAGCCTACTTTCCAGGGCCCCAGTCACAGAACCTAAGAGGGTAGTGGGAAAAGGTGTTCTTTTTCTCCCTCCCCTTCGCCCTCCTGGGCCAGGTTTGGTGGAGGGCCTGCCCACAGCCCCAGACCTTGCCCTCACCCCACATCTCCATCTCTCTCGGAGTCTCCAATCTATCTAAACTCGCTGCTCTGGGTCGAGGGCCTTCAGGGGCTCTGTTTTCAGTTACCTCTCACCTAAGGGTGTTCGAGATTAATTTGCACAGAACTGTAATGACTATTGACCCATCTGCATTCTTCACTCCCTTTTCTTTTTCTTTTTTAATATATTTTTTATTGATATCAGAGAGGAAGAGAGAGAGAAACATCAATGATGAGAGAGGATCATCGATTGGCTGCCTCCTGCACGCCCCCTACTGGGAATTGAGCCTGCAACCCAGGCATGTGTCCTTGACTGGAATCGAACTCGGGACCCTTCAGTCCGCAGGCTGACGCTCTATCCAATGAGCCAAACCAGCTAGGGCTTCCCTCCCTTTTCCAGCCATACCAAAGCACCCTGCCTTGAATCAAGGTGGTCTTTATTGTTTACATAAGCACCAGGTAACATCTGGATGGTCTCACAGCTTCAAAAGGAGTCATTACTTTTCTAACAATTAGCCTCCCATCTCTCCTTCAATGGTAGGTCAACGTTAAGGGTGATCTTGTCATTATCATCTCTGAACAGAAGGGGGCAGCAGAATACAGACCAAACAGCAAGAGTCTCCCTAAGAAAAAAAGTATTTGATGTGGGTAAGGCTTAGGTATCTTTGCCAAAATCTTAGTTGATCCTGCATGGTTCCTCCGGCCTCTTCCTCCATCGTTCCCTGTTCAACTGGCTATGAGGACCAAATTGATCATAGAAAGCAATTCATATCAATATGCCTAAAATCAATTTACATTTCGACAGCAAACAATACTGTAATATAAAAAATGGCTGAAAAAAGTAAGTAAGGACCAAGTCTCCCCTGGGATCTGACACATATCAGGCCCACAAAATGCCTTTGGAGCCTCCATATCATGCGAGTCTTTTTTAACATCTCATATCCATTCCACAAGCATTAATTTCTGGCCTAGGCCCTAGAAATAGTATAGTAAATGAAACAGGTAAACTTCTTGATTTTATGAAGCCCTCTTTCTATTAAGAAATAATATTCGAAAAATATGTCATTTCAGGTAGTGATAAGTGTTATAAAAAAGAAAAAGTGAGATAAAGGCTATGTTGTCTAGTATGGTATTCACTAACCACAAACCACATTTGCTATTTATTTTTAAATAAGATGTAAAGTTCAAGTCAGACTCTCAAGGTACATTTCAACAAGTGCTTGTAGAGCTAGTGGCTACCGTACTAGGCACTGTAGATATAGGACAACTCCATCATCACAGAACATTCTATTGGACAGTGGTAGGGGGTGGTATTTTATAGGGTAGTCAAGGAAGGATTCACTGAGAAAATAACATTTGAAAAAATATCATATTAAAATCTGAGGAGTGAGCTTTTCAGGTAAAGGAAATAGCAAGTGCAAAGGTCCTGAGGCATGTTTAGCCCAATGAGGAACAGCCACTGAGGGCAGGGCTGGAGTGAGTGAGGGGTGAGTGGTTGGAGTGAGGCTTTGAGAGGAAGACAGAGACCACATCATGCAAGGCCTCTAGGCCATGGAAATGAACTTTAGCCTCTATTCTAAGTGCCATGGGAAGCCAACAACAGCTCTGACCAGAGGAGTTACAGGTTCTAATTTTCATTTGGAGAAGGCCAGTCAGGCTTCTGTGAGGAAGAAGCTTCGGAGGAAGAGGAAGGGCCAGTGAGGAGGTGACTGCCAGTCTCAGCAAGAGGTGACAGTGGCTAGGGCTTGGGCTTGGGTAGTGCAGTGAGGTGTGGAGGTGGTCATACTGAGGGTAAAAATAAGACTAGAGAATGGACTGACTGTGAGGATGAGGGGAGAGAAGACGCAGGGGCGCCTCTGAGGTACCTGACCCCCGAGCAGCGGGTCAGCGTGGCCCCATCTTTCTGACGGACAAGGGTGGTTTCGGTGCAGTGTGGGGGAGAGAGTGGCTGGAGTTCAGGAGAGAATGAAACGTGGAAAAGAGCAAACGGTGAGTAGAGACACTTCTATCAAAGGTGTGCGTGTGTGTGCGTGTGTGAGGCAGCAGCTGAAGGGGCATGTGGAGAAAGCAAAGGTTTGTTTTTGTTCTAAGTTGGGGATATTACAGTATGTTTATTACAGTATGTGATGATGGACAGGAGGAAGGGAAAGCATCTGAGAGATGCCTCGTCCCATGGGATGAGGAGGCCAACGGGTCTCATTCCTTCCAGCCCTGTTTCCAGGCAGGAACATGCCCCCTCGTCTTTCCTTATTCCGGGACAGATATTCTCAAAGGATCTTGCTCCTGTCTGACATCTCTTCAGGCTCCCCCCACACACGCAACTCGCTCAGCTTTCTTTGCCGTATGTGATATCTTGGCTGTTGGCCATAAACAACCTGGCCTGTCCACTTCCCATCCTGCGTGGGTGATCTGGCCATCATCGCCTCTCCAGCTCCTGTTTGCTTCCTCCCCTCCTCCCAGGGCCCGGTCAACACCCCACAGCACATCCCAACCCTGCCCAGCGCACACTGGCAGGAGAAGCAATTAACACTGACATTTCTGCAGGCAGGAAATCCTCATAATTAAAACTTACTTCGCAAGATCTCAGGAGTCTAAATAACCCGAAGGGGGCAAGAGGGCTAGCATCCTGTCAGGAGATGCAATCTGTAGAAATAAACTCGGTAATACAGGCCTAACATTTTTCATTCCAGAGCCCAATTATCAGATGTAAATATTTCTGTTGATTAAGACAACAAAAATAAGCTTGCTGTCGTCATGAAGAGCTCTCGGTGTCTTCAGAAAGTCTCTAAAAGCAGCAACAATTGCGATCAGCCATGTAATCAAAAGTTAGTTCTCACATAATCATTTTTCTAAGCTTAGCAAATACAGGTCTTAATACGGACAGTAACCATCCATTCAAGGAAGAAACCATTGCTTTGATAATACAAAGCTCAACACTAGTGCAGCAGACTAAACTAGAGAATATTAACTGATGGACAGCTGTCACCCTGGAAACATTTACTCATATTAAACCTTAGAAGACCCAGCGAGTTTTCAATATCATTATCATATCAGCAAGTTGAAAGATGACAGCTTTCTAAGACCAGACAATGAGCCCATAGTCAAATCCAACACAATCCAGATGTTTCTGAAAACCAGACAGCGCTGACATTAGATGGCATTTAGACTCCTGACACAGCGATACGTTGAACTTTACTCACCCAGAAAAGGGACAAATGGTGAATAAATATGACAGGTCTATTCATTCTTATAAATGCAAGCTGACAAAATTATCCACAGGGGAAAAGAGTTACTTATCTATTCCACATAAACAACTCTTGTATTTAGAAGGAAAAAGTATAGCTACTCTCCAATTTTGCCTCTGTCTCTCTCAGAACACACACACATACAACACACACACACAACACGTAAACACACTTCACTGCCCTTAAGGGCACTAAAAACACATCTGACTGACGGTTAAATCCGTGAAGAGTTGCTACGTGACTTCTCTGAGGCAGTCAGCTTATCCACACTAAACGTGTACCTTGCAGTTTTCTGCTTCCTGAAGTGAACTTCACATAGTCTACACCAGTGCTGACTTTCCATTTTAAAAACTGCTGACAAGTCAGTCCCTTCACACAAGTGAGAGTCTCTATTGCCCAAGAGACGGGCCAGCTCGACAGCCTGGTTCCAGGACCTTGTGGAGAAAATGCAAGCTCGGGTGGCTGTCCCCGACAGAAAAGGACCCTGGAAGGTCAATGATTTCATCCCGCATCCCGAGAACTTGTCTGAGAGCGCCGGGCTACTGCTTTAGGAGACACACGCCCAACATGTTTGGCTCGAGACCAGCCCAGGCCTCTAGGCAGACCCTCTCCTGCTGAGACAATTGGGGGAAACATCAGAGGGGCATTAAAGAGCACTATTCTGTGGCCGTTCCAAGTGGCCATAGTGAACAGTGGGTAGCACAGCACACGTGGAGATTACTTGGGCTCAGACCCAGAAGACAGACGAAAAGCAAGTGAAGAAAGGATGAGGGCACTCAGCTCACACAAAAGTGAAATTTTTCACAGAAGAGTTATTTGATGGTAATTCAGACCACAGTTCTGTGAATGTGGGCAAACACAAGGTTACTTGACTTAGTGGCCAAGGTAGACCTCATTTCACCAGATAATTAGCTTGACTCACTCATTGCTCCATTCTCCTGGGGGGAACAGTTTACGGATAGATGAATGCATGGGGATGGTGTTTCCAGGCTGGGTCTACAGCCATGGAAATGAAAGGAAACAGGCTAACTCTCTGACCAAAAAATAAATCATAATAATATGACTCATCAAGATCACCGTCTCCATCCACGATTGCTTTACCTGCAGCAATCCGGCTTTGAGTGCTGACTCACCATACCCGCCTTAACATCAGAGTTATGCTGATGTCATCACAATGATGGCAGCTGCCACTGATGGAATCCTCACTACTTCCCAGGCAGCAGGATATGTCTGCATTCATTCATTCATCCCGCTAACATTTAATGAGCATCCACCGTGTGACAGAGCTGTTCTAGGTTTCAGGGTACAATCTGAATAGAACCAAGTTCCTACTGTCCTAGAACTTTCTTCCCAGTGAGAGAAAGAAAACAGAAAATTAAATACACCTGTACCAGACAGTGGTCAGGGCAATGAAGAAGAGAGTGGGATAAGTACGCTGTCCTAACAAGACCTCCAGGGGCACACTTCTGGTTCAGGAACACGTTGGGCCTACTGACTCACTGCAACAGGGAGCACGCACACCCCTGAGATCCAGGCACCTAAGAAGAGGATGTTCAAGACACTTATTGCAACACCTGGGCTGTGTTAGGTGATTAGGGGAAGGGGTCCAAAATAAAGCAGGATTTTGCTCTAAATCATATACTGTCAGGAAGAGGGAGTGATTCTATGACTGGGCACTGTAGTGACTCTTAACTAGAAGGCAGGAGGAATGAAGTGAGGCAGTCACTCCCAGTTGCCAGAAGGGGGAGATGTGGCCATGTTTGAGGTCTGGACAATCGTGTTTCTCTCTGCATCTGGAAATGACTAACAAGGGATCTTGCATTTGTCTTGACCCATCATGGCCAGAGTGGCCTTAGCTGATGCTGATGTTCCGTGAAATTGTTTATTTCAGTAGGAGAGCACATTGCTGAGCGGGGGAGCCAGGCCGGCTGCCAGCTGTCAGGGCTGCTTCTCTCTCTCCTGCACTCAGTCCTCCTTCCACCTTCCAAGTCAGGTGCTATTGTGTCATTTTTCTTTTACAAACGAGAAACTAAGGCCCAGAGAGGGGAAGGACTAATCCTAGAGCAAGCAACTAGGAAAGCCAGGATCTTAAGTAGGTTATCTGATGAAACCTACAGAATTTTACTAACCTATGTCACCCCAATAAATTCAATTTTTTTTAAAAAGTAAAGAATTTTTTTAAAAAGTCAGTTATCTGACTCCAGGACCAACCAGCCTCTTATCCACTCCACACACAGATTCCAGCAGTGTGAGCCTTTGGAACTCTCGCGGCAGGAAGTTACCTCCGAAAGAGTCAGGGGTGGTTTCAGTGGGAGAGAGGACACCAAGCCTGCAGGGCAAACAGCTACCAGTGGACACCCCGATACCTAGGCCAGAGCTCGTGCAAATGCCCAAGAAACAAGTCCACCTGATCAGTCCACCTGACAGGGATGAGGAAACATATTCCGTTTTATTTGGATGAGGAAACATATTCCGTTTTATTTAAATTGGAAGGTTTCTTTTTCAATAATCTCATCAAAACCAATCTATGTCAGTAGGTTATAAGCATAGAAACAAGGAAGCAACTGAAACAAGTAGGTTATAAGCATAAAGGTATTGTTCTGGCCGTAAGGGTAACAGCCATGAGGCAGCAGAGTCGGGCTTACCAGGAGGTTTTCCGGCTTGAGGTCCCGGTGCACGATGTTCTTGTCATGCATGTGCACGAGAGCCTTACACAAGTCCATGAGCATGAGGGCGGCGTCGCGCTCTGGGAACTTCACGTGTTCTATGATGGCATCGAAAAGGTCCCCGCCCTGCACGTACTCCATGATCAGGTAGATCTCCGTGTCCGTTTCGTACACTTCGTGCAGCTTCACTATGTTGGGGTGAGAGAGGCTCTGGATAATTAAGATCTCGCTGTCGACCATGTCCTCCTTGCCCTTGAGTTTGGCCTTGTCGATGATCTTCATGGCGTAGGCCTGCCTGGTCTCCCGGTGCTGGCACTCCTTCACGATGGCGAAGTTGCCGTCCCCGATGACCCGGCCGGTCTCGTACTGCTTCTCCACGTTGGCCGAGATGATGCCCGCGGGCCGCCGCTTCCGGCCACCGGGCCTCTCTGGCTTGCTTTCCTCTGCCATCATCTTGGGCTCCTTTTCTACCCTTGCGGGTTGGTCATCTCTGGGAAGCATCTTTCTCCCGCCGGACACAGGTGGCTTTTTCTCCTTCTCTGCCTCCTGCTCCTCCCCTCGGGTCCTGGGCGGCTTCTTGGGGTCGGCTGGGTGCTCCCTGAGGAACCAGCCACCATGCTTATTCCTGGCATCTTTCTTCCCATCCCGCGGCCCCTCCTCTCTGACGGGCTGGGCTTCCGTGACATCCTTCTTAGCCTTGGCTGCTCCTTGCGGCTGACCTTCCTGACCTTTGGGGTCTGCGTCCTCTTTCTTGTCTGTGTTCTTGCTGGGCCTCAGCTCCTGAGTGGGGTTCCTGGGTTTGCTCCTGTGGCCGTCACCCTGCCACCCGTCCTCCCCGCCTGGAGACTGGGCCTCGGGGGACCTCCTGCAGCTCCTGGTCCTCACCAGCTTGTCCACGTCATAGCGCAGGCCCTTGCCCAGGTCCAGCTCGCTGGTGCCCAGGGACAGCCTCTCCCTTTGCAGGCTCTGCCGAAGCTCCCTCTCTCTCTTGCACTTCTCACACCGGATGATTTCCCCCGAGGTCTTCTCGATCTCCACGCCCAGGTGCCTCTCCCCGCTGCCATGTCTCTCGACGGGGGCTTCCCGGGGCGGCTTGCCACCGGGCTCAGGCTCCCGTGCGCCCCTCACCCACGTCTTCTGGGCCCTCGCCCCGTCCTCCAGCCCCGGCTCCATGGGGGTCTTCCCCTGCCGTCTGATGGCTGCCTTGGACCCGGCAGCCTCACCGCAGCTCTTGGCCGGCTCAGCCTCCCCACAGTGGTGTCCCCCTTTCAGAGCCTTGCTATAGAGCCTGCTTCTCAGCCTCGGAGAAGGGACCCTGCTCTGCTGGCTCAGCGTCAGGGCCCGGGCTTTGCTGGGGTACAGCTCTTCCATGGCCGCCTGAATGTTCTTCAACGTCAAGGGTTCCTTGCCCATGGCGATGAAGGCATCCCCTTCCCGGAAGAAATCAGAGACGCTCCGGATCTCCCTGCCCTTGAGGTTGAACAGTTTCCTCACGCGATCACTCTTCCACCGGGGGAAGCCCAAGGCCTCCGAGACGTCCGCCAGGAGCTGCTCGAAGGTCTGCACCGAGCGCCGATTGAGGAGCAGGGTGACCTTGCGCAGGGGGTGCCCACCCGGCTTCACCACCGTCACGACCCTGGGCTTCAGGGCGCTGTTCTCGGCGTGGATGCAGTGAAGGCCGTGCTGAGAGCTGAACACGGGCACCAGGGAGCCGCAGGGGCCCAGGCACGGTCTCTCCACGTGCCCCCGGCCAGCAGGCAGCCACGTGCCCTGCAGCTTCCGCTCCATGAGTCTCGAGCTTAGATATTTTAGCGAATGGTCACATAGGCCTCGATGTCCTGCCAGAGGAAAAGGACAACACAGTATTAGTCAAGATTGGGTTCAAGGAGGCTTTGACCTTAGCAAGACTCTCCTAAAGGTTAGTGGTTCTCTAATAGAACCAGTAACCTTTGAGGATCTGCTTGAAATGATGGGGCCTTCATACTTTAGGTCTAATCGCTGTCTCCTCTGTGAGAGACCAGGAGTGTGGAATAGAATCTGCTTTGGGCCTGAGGTGGCTCCTGTAGGCCTCCCAGGGACCCCCCAGGTTGAACCACCCCTCAGGAGCCCATTCTAGGCAAGGCCTGACTCTGAGAACACAACTCCTGCTTCCCTAAAGTGAGGTGACCTTCAAGGATCCACAACTGAGAAAAAAGGTCCAAGGTTTGCTACCCAAGAAATACCACCAAGAGGTGAGAACATTCTGGAACTTTACAGAACCTTAATCTCACCCACCACAACTTTTCTTAGCTTGACTTTCAACCCACTCACGGCGAGGCAGTCTGTGAAGAGGTTATGTCACAGTTTGAGACAGATCTGGCTTTGAATCCTGGCATGGCCTCTGACTGTGTGTATGAACTTGGGCAAAGTACTAACATTTCAGTCTTTTCATCTATGAAGCCGGGATGCTAACACTCTCCTCCCAGGACTTTTGTGAAGAATAAATAACAAAATGAATACAATTTACTTAGAGGACTTAACACACAGGGCATAGTAATTGGCAGCTACCAATCCTGTCTACACCATCTAATTGATCACTTCATCGGTAGTAACGTAATCTATTGAGAAGGTAGAACCCCACTGTGCACAGCTTCACCTGGCCTCACAGAGCTCCTGGACAAACAACGGGGTGGGTATTTAAAGCTCTGATTGGGATTTTCTTGCCCTGGGGGGTTAAAAAAAACAGTTGACAATTTCAGTCTACATCTAGAAAGTTCTCCTCCAAAAGGTTTTTTCTCATTATTAAAAAAAAAAAAGGAAAGAAACCATTATTTAATGTTCAGAGCATTTTGTTCATTCTCCTTGTATTTCCAGATAAACTGAATAAATGAATAAACCAAGACTCTGTGTTTCCTGATCAACTGTACCCAGCCAGAATAAACTAGAGGAGACAAAAAGTGGTTTGATTTCCATTCCCCTCCAGGTCAGGAAAGGAAACAGGAAAATGACCGAATGTGTAGAGCAGCTCGACCATGAGGGTGGGCGGGGAGTTATTCAAGTGACCCCACAGGATCCATATGTCATGTCCTACGTGTAGGAACCTGGCGCCTGTGCCTCCTTGAAAAAGAAGCTACAAGTGACTTTTGAAGAACATTTGAATTGTGGCAAAGACTCCCGTTGTGCCAGGATGGGCAACTTGACCGAGCATATTTACCCAGAACGGTTTTTTTCGTTTTTTAATTATAACATACAATCTGTTCTGCGATGATTTCCATCTAGACACAGGTGTCAGAGTAGATGACAAGTGGTGGCTGGTACTGATCTTCCCACGTGCCATAGATTTATGAGCTTAACCATCCCGCTGACAGTGGCACTATTTATGGGCATCTGTTATTCCTTTTCTTCTCGTGCTCTGTAGTCTGCCTCCGTATTTGCCGGAGAGAGTTGGGGCTGAGAGAGGGGGCTCCAGGAGTCATACTAGTTTGTGTTTCCTCAATGGAAAGATTGAAGGGTGCCAAGGAAGGTGACCTTCCAATGTATGTGCACAAAGGAACCCGTGTTCTCATTTGTTATTCCTATGGTGCTTCTCAGAGTAAAACCCTCAATACAGCCCGGCCATGTGCTCAGTGGTTGAGCATCGACCTAGGATTCAGAAGGTCATGGTTCAGAAGGTCCCGGTCAGGGCACATGCCCAGGGTTCAGGATGGAGGAGAGGGAGCAGTGTTTCAAAAGCCTGTGGGAGGCGCTGGGACCCAGGTGATGAGGTACAACAGAGTAAGCCGCACCGGTCCCAGGGCCCCAGGGCCCCGGGGGTGGGGGTGCGGCCATGTGGGGCCCTGAGGACACACTGACAGCCAGGGAACAGCAAGGGGAGGGGCCGTGAGGAGTGATAGAATGACCAAGGAAGAACAGGAGCCACGGTGTACCTGAGCACAGGTGACATCCTGCCCTGGGGATTCCGAGGACACTGGCTGAGGTCCCGTGGGAGCAGGTGCAGTCACTGGGACTCCACGTTGGACATTAATATTAACGCGGCCTCGTTTGCTCCCAGGGCTGCCGAGGCCTTGGACATCCGGTGACCACACAATCACAATCACAGTTCTCCCTGCCGGCTTTCCTCCAGACGGACCCTTCTGCCCACTTCCGGTCATTCCGGCACACAAAGCCTCTATGCTCCCTTTTGCCTGCGTGGGCCACTGTGGGGAGCCTCTCCAGGTGCCGCCCTGGCCCTGGTGTTGTCCTCGCGACACCTGATGCTGGTTCCCTTTGCCCAAAGCTTCCCGGGGGGCGGGGGGGAGGGAGGGGGAGAACAGCTTATCTTTCTGTCTCACCCCTGGGTTTACTGTTTCCTCCCAACACTCCCAGCTCACCCACGACCTCATCCCTGGGGGGGTCACTGCTCATCCCTGGGGGGTCACCACTCACTCAGTAAAATTCCAAGAGGGCAGGGCTCCCAGGCCAGCTGCTGTTTCCTATGCCCTGGATTTTGAATCCCCACTGTCTGTGGCAGCTCAGAGATTCACGATAACCGTGACTTGGGCCGCGTTTTGCTTTTCCCGGCGCTGTCCAGGTTGGCTCTCTGGACACGCTCCTTCGGAAGGGGAGGAGCCAGTCTGGGGCCAGTCTGCAGCTGACTGATGCCCGCAAGACTTTACCATGTTTTCCTTTCTGTCTCCACCAACCTGTGTCACAACATGCAAACACTGTACTAGCTGACTATTTCCATGATCCATCCACCCCTATGGGTGAGGCTGCAGAAATCACTCAAAAAGCACTCCTCCATCTGCTGTGTGGAAAGATGAGCCCATCTATCTCATTTCTCCATTTCCTGCCTTGGTTTGGGCGGATCTGAGACTGATGTGAAGACCTTGGGAATCTCTGAACCATGTGTCCGTGCTGGGCCCTGAAACCTCTCACCCTCACGTACCAGATGCCTATCTGAGGGGCAGGCAGACACCTCCACCACTTACTGTTGTCCAGAACAGAGGAGGCAAAGGGTCTGTGGTTTTGCATGATTTTGACTTCTGGATAAGACAACCTTCATGGCCTTGGCCGGTGGGGCTCAGTTGGTTGGAGTCATAGGGTCACCGGTTGGCTTAATTCCCGGTCAGCACCCATACACAGGTTTCAGGCTCGACCCCTGGTTGGGGCAGAGTGTACAGGAGGCAACCCATCAATGTTTGTCACATCAATCTTTCTCTCTCATATCGATGTTTCTCTCCCTCTTTCTCTCTCGCCCACTCTCTCCCCCCTCTCTCTCTTTCTCTCTAAAATCAATAAAAACATATCCTCCGGTGAGGATTAAAACAAAACAAAAATAAAACACAACCTTAAGGTACAACATAAAATTAAATAGCAAATAAAACTATGGGAGAAGAAATGTGTCCAAAAGATATATAGCTTTCATTCATATTCAGGAGAGAATACACATTTGAAAAACAGTGAGCCTGGTTATGTAAAATAATAATAAGGGAATATTATGAATAACTTTGTGCTCATAAATAAGACAAGTTAAATGAAATGGACGGATTCCATGAAAGATACATATTACCAAAGTTGACTCAAGGAGAAATAAATAAACTAATAGCTTCCCCTGTGCTATTTATCTGAAGTTTAGGTACACTGAGGAAGAACTTTCCATAAATATTCAAGACATGGTCATTTATATGACTGATTGTGGATTCATGGGGAAAATTGCTTATGTTGAAAAATATATCCTTTGTAAATATCCTTCAATAAAATTAAGGGCAGCAATCCAATCTAAGCAGGATGCAAAGGAGAATTCTAAGGAGGATCCGTGTTCTAGACACAAAGGCTGAGCGAGTGAAAATCTTTGCAAGTTAGAAATGAAAGGGCCAGTAGCCCACCACCCTCGATTTTCAAATGCACCTGCAGACCAGAGAGGGTAAGCAATCAGCCCAAGGCTACACAGCTAGTTAGTAAAAACTGAAACAGTCCTTCCATAGATCCTCAATCTTCTTGAACAATGGCTGAGACGGGTGTAGGGGTGTCATTTGAATCACGAAATAAAGCAAAGCTCACAGGATCATCCAGAGGAAATGGAGCAGAACACAGGCCCATCCATGGGCATCGATACCCCAGCAAAGCAGCCTCCGTTTAGCTGTGTCCTAATTGTTAAGCCAGCCAGAACCCCAACTGGACAAAATAGAGTCACACAGTGTTCCTGCAGCTGGCAATAAACAAGTGAGCTTTTCCCCGATGTCCCCATAGTGTTCTAAAAAAACACTGATCTAAAAAAACAAACTCCCCGAAGTGTTTTAAGATTCCAAACAAAGAAGAGTGATGTTGGGGTAAAGCAGATTGTGGTGCAAACTTTTCTTCTTTTAGGAAATTCAAACTGGGCTTGGTTTCCTCTTACTTAAAAGTAGGAGCCCAGCCGGCATGGCTCAGTGGTTGAGTGTTGAGTTGTTGAGTGTCGACCTATGAACCAGGAGGTCACAGTTTGATTCCCAGTCAGGGCACATGCCCCGGGTTGCGGACTTGACCCCCATTAGGGGGCATATAGGAGGCAGCCAATCAATGATTCTCTCTCATCACTGATGTTTCTATCTTTCTCTCTACCTTCCTCTCTGAAATCAATTTAAAATATATGTGTATATTTTAAAAGTAGGAAAGTCATGTACCATGACCCTGGCTGTAAAAAGGCATCCAACAGGCACCCCAAAGCTCTAGCAGTGGCCCCAATACCCACCTTGAGTGCCAGAGCCACGAGGGGCCTGGCCTACATCTCAGTGTCCATGTCCTCACTGGCATGGGCCTGCACGGCCCCCACCTGCCCAGCTCCTAGGTGGCT